CTTTAAATGGTTCAAAATTGGGGAAGGGGAACACCAAAGTATAACTGTCAATTTACTTTATTATATTCAGATTTTTTCATCACAAATGTTGGGACTAGAAGCTGAAATTAAAACTGCTGATGAAACAAGGACCTCAGATATGCCATGATGGCGGTAAGAGAGAAATACTTAAGGATAATCTTGTTGAAAATGAGACTGCTCAAGCTTATTTGCTGCGTAGCATTAATGCTGCCCCAAGATTATGTTGATAGGCATTGCCAACCCAATGCAAAATAGGTGGTGAATAACAAACAGAGATGATGTTATAGAAATGAAATAGAGATGTTTTCTATTTAGAACAAAGTCTGTAACAGAGGTAGACAAATTATTAAAATGCTGAGACAGCACGACAAATAAAATGATTTTTATTTATAAGACTATTGTTTTTCTAATTTTAATGTATCTATCTGAAAATTCTGATTTAGTTGGGTTCTGGTGGCATGAGAGTGATGGGCTCCCTTAGGCAATTGGGGAGCCTGCCCCTAGGTGGCAGTCTAGGAGCACTGTGTGCTGGTTTTGAATGGCTGTCACTTTCCACTTCAACTGAGAGTTAGGTAGAGGGTGTGTGTGAATGTGGCCTCTCTCAGCTGACTGGTGGGAGACCAGCTTTGGAAGGGAGAACATTGTGGGTTGGGGCTGAGGGGAATGGGCACCCCTGCTAGTGCTGAGAGCTGACACTTAAGTATCAAGGGATAGCCCAGATTCTGGTCAGTAGACCCATGGAGGCCTGGATCTTCGGCTGCTGCTGCTGAATAGGCACCCCTTATTTGTGACCTCATTAAGAAGAAGCAAGCATCAACAAGACCTGTCTGACACCAGAGGGGAAAGCTCTCCTCTCAGAGATGTATCCAGCCAGTTTTGGAGTTTGGCACCAGCGAAACCTCAGGACAGGAGAGAGAGGGTATCAGCTGCCATCCTGGAATCTGTTTTAACCATCAGGAGCAATGTTCCCCAAGTTTTCAGTTGTGAGACCCTATTTGTGAAGCTGGGCTTGCAGGATCAGTTGGGACTGTTGCTATTATATCAGCCTCCCTGTTGCGGAATTCCTGGAGACCAGCCCAGGGTTAGAAGTGGAGCTCTTCAGGCTTATGGTCTGGGGACTTCAACCTACCATCCCTGGAGATGGCCTCAAAGCAGCTCAGGAGTTCATGGCCACCATTTCTAGACCGTTCTAGAAGGCCCTAGGGATGAGCATGCAAACACTGGTTGCCGGTTTGCACTTGGTCCAATTCAAGGTGCTGATTATCATCTTTAATGTCCTTTATGTCATGGTACCAGATTCTGGGGAACTGTCTCATCTCAATGGGATTGACTCACCCCACTCCCTCTGGCAGAAGGGGCATGTACAGACCCAATCAGTCAAAGAATTTCAGCTGGCAGGTTCTAGGAGAAAAGGCTTTACTGTCATAGCCTCCACCCTTTGGAACACCTTGCTACTGGAGATCAGATCCACCCCCACCATCTTGGCCTTCTGGAAGGCCTGGCTCTTCCAATTGGCTTGGGGCTGCGATGGGGGCACTTTACTCTGAAGGTGGTTGGTGGAATTTAAGAGAGACTATCCTACCTTTGTACCATTCGTTTACCTGGTTCATAAGTTTATCTAATTCTTGTTAACTTTAATGTTTTTATATTTGTATTTCTATTGTACTGAAAGCAGCCCAGAGTTGCTTTGGATAGTCATAGTGAGATGGGTAGTAATTAATAAATAAATGAATAATAATAAAATTGTGCCTTCAGAAAGGCTGAACAAAGGCATATGGATCTTTCTTAATTATGATGTTGAAGAAAATTGTTGAGAATATTTTAGACTACAAGAAGAACAAATAATCCAATACTACATAAACTAGACTGAGCACTGGGCGTACTTAGAATGAACCTAAAACTTAAGTATTTTGGACATATAATGCAAAAGCAAGAATAAAATAGAGAAGACCCAAGTACCTGGAAAAGTCAAAGGCAATTGAAAAAGAGGCCAAGAGAAGACGAAATGACTAAATACCATCACTAATGGCCCAAAAAGAACTTGTGTTTGGATTACAGAGAATACTTGTGACCTGATGTCCAGGTTATGAAGAGTTAAAAGCTATTGAACAACAAAAAGATAGGAATCTTTTTTTTCTACTGCTGTACTACCTTGTTTCTTTTCTCTTTTCTACCACACTTTTCTATTTCTTCTGCTAGAAAGACCTTGAATAATAACAGCAAGCTTTCTTTCATTTTACAATCTTTCAACTCATGAGTAAAGATAATATATTCGTTCCAACTGATTTCTCTTTTTCTTGATGGAGTGAGGTAATACCAGGAGACTTTTTACAATAAATTTGAATAACGTTGAGTTCGTAAATAAATTCCAGCTTGATTATTTAGCTCCAATAGTTTGGCTCAAGTAGAAAACCTGAGCAAGGAACTTTCTACTTTTGCTTGCTTGTAACTGAAACTCAGTTTGAGAGTTGGAGAAAAGTGATGCTAAGATGTCAGAGATTAAATATTTGTAATTTTATTTCCATTTGCAGCATTTTTACCTCTCATTTCTAACCTCTGATTGGCTCAAGGTTAATAAGTACAGAACTCCCAAATCCTTAAATTAGATGATGTGGAGTACAAACTGTTTTAATCATCTTTTTGACTGAGAACGGTGCTAGGTAGTACAGTGCAGAAAAAAGAAAGATACTGTACATTTATGCTAATCTAAGGGATCTCTTAGATTCTTTAATCCCCTGCTGGATATCTACAAAGTTGTTTTATGCATAAAAAGAAAAAAAAAAGCAAGCTCTCTGAGAATGGGATTTTGCCTTTACAATGTGGCCCTCTTGCAACACAGAAGCCTTGCAAGCTATCAGCTCTCCCAGTGGGAAGCAAGGAGTTGAGTGGTATACAGAGCAGCTGCTACATAGGGGAAATTTACAAGGGAAGGGAGCAGTTTAAGTGTAACTCACTGAAATCAAGGGACAGCAGCCTCAGGTCAGAGGGTAAATTTTAAAAGGAGGCCTCCCATGAGAGTACAGAGGAGGGGGTATGTTTAGTTCAGGAAAGAAAAAAAAATGCTTTCCTGATTTATTTTAAAATTTTATTTCATGGCTCTGTCCTGACCAAAACAGAAGCAAGCACCTGCCACTTCTATTATACCAAATGGTAACAATCTACTGTAAGAGGATAAGGTATGTTATCTTTTAGGACAAGGATTTTTTTTTTAAACTTAATAGATTCTATACTAGCAGTAAGTTCAAAGCTACAGATTAGCTGAAGAGCTGTTACTCCAATCTAAGTTTACTCCCCCAGTCCCAGCAGGTTTGAAATTGCCTTTGGCTGCGTTCCCTTCCCCCCCACCACCTTGCTTTTTCAAAACCAATTTGAATAGGAAATGAAATGTGGCTCCAGAGACACAATGGTTTACTGTAAAGATTTTGCTGCAATGCATGGCATTAAAAATCTGCAAAGACCCATGCAACCGGGCTATTCTGTGATAAAAAGCTATAAAGAACACCCAGGTGGGCAACTCGATACTAGAGGCTAATTGAAGCAAGCAATAATATTCCTCAATAAAATTCATGAGTGTAAATTCTTTCTTTCTCAGAAAGAGGAAATCTACTTCTAAGCAGCTGAATTCTACTTAATGGTAGAACAAAGAAATTAAACCCTTGGTAACTGTTCTAATGGCTGAAATGATTGCTTGATATATGCAAGGCCAATCACAAAGATAAAACACATAGTTTAAAAACGTATGCAAAAACACACACACGTTTGTAGTACTAATTTCATAATTTATTTTTTTTAACTCTGAAACGTGTCATTTCTCTCGTTGATATTTTTCTCCATGTGAATAATAAGATCAATTTGCTAATGTAATGCACGCATATTCTTAAAGAGAATTAAAATTAAACAATGCTTATATTTGATCAAATTCTAGGCAGACTAAATTGTGGGGCGCTCTTAAAGAAATCTTAGAATTGATATAACGCCTCACCTACACAATTGTACTTAAAGGAAAGCTGGCCATAAATGCTGACAAAGCATATATTTTTCTTGAAAAATGTGCACACCTAGTGACAAGGTTAATGACATTTGAGCAGCCTCTCACTCTGACCTGTCTCTCCACATATTCTAGCTTTAATGCACTTGCACAATTTGACCCTGCCCCCCCCCCCAAAGAAAAGGGAAGGGAAGGAAAGTGGCTTCCACCTCCAGTTATTTTCTACATGGCTGAATTCCCTGGTGCCAGGTTCAGTGCCTTTCTACAGAATGGAATGCATTAAACATTCCATGTGCAAATCCCAAGAGGGATGGAACAGTTCATTTGCTAAAGGTTAGGGGGAAATCACAGCTAAATCACAGCCATACCCTCTTCTGGACTTCTTGAAGAACATTTCATTCTATATATTGTTATTTTTCTTACTATGAATTCAAAGTCTTTATTTTCAATTTTGGGAACTTTTTCTAGGGGAAGAAGGAACCACCCAATGTCTATTCTTGATAAGGGGCGAAACCAATATTCTATAAAATAAAAAAAACAAAGAATAAAAAAATCCTTCTACAAAGAAAGCTAGAAGACAGAGAAAAGATTTCTAGCCTAGGTTTCTCCTTGATTTTACTTTTCTACTTAATTTAAACTCTGAATTAATTTGAAGAGGCACACAAGATTATCACCTCGATTAGAAAAGAAATCTGGACTTGCAGATCTGCTTTCTTAGGAAAAAGATTAAACCACAGAAAAATATTTTAATTATCTTATCTGAAAAGATGTATCCTTAGGACAGTCAAAATATATGCCAAAATAGCTATGCATTCTTAATCAATGATGAATATTGTTATTTATTATCTTAGTGTGAATAAAATCTATAATTTGAAGCTTGACGGATCTGGCAGAATACATATAAGGAAAATAACAACTTTATGTATTGTTGGCATTTTTGAAAAGTTCAAATATTCACTTTTGCTATATAGTGTTTGTCCTAAAATCTTACCTTTCTGGAGACTGTGGAAACATTCAAACCAAATCGTTGAGCTCTTTCCTTTAATTTGTCTATATTTATCTAGAAAAGCAATCGAAAACAAGTATATTCATGTAAATTTAAAGGTTTCAAAATTATAAATGCTGAAACCATGCCAGTATGGATAAATTTGTTGAAACATAATAAAACATTACTTTCTGTACTGAAATTGAAATAATCTTTGAACAACTGATGGAATTAAATGAAAATGGCATCCATAGAACCAGTAGCTTACTGCAAATCACTTCTGAGAAAACTTTCAGGTATTATTTTAGCAGATCAATTATGAGTTGATCAATGGTTTAGCAGATCAACGGATAGGAAAAGTGGAAACCACTATTTTCAACTCAATACTCTTGTCTAGCACTCCTTGTGCATTTACCAATCAAGCTCCTTAACATGGAAGTAACTAAACTATCAAGAAGATGAAAATATTTCCAACATATTCCAGTATTATAGGCTTCAATTAGACATTAATTAAATATGGAAGAAAGAAGTCTTCACTCTAAATTTAAGATGAAATTTTCAATTTGTTTTTAAAGCATCCTAGGAAACATTTTTTTGCTACTAAGCTAGATCATTTTCACCTTACTAACTTTGGACCAGTATTATCTCTCAGCCATACTATTTCAACAGTTGTTGCTGAGAAAAAAACCCAGAAGAGGGCTTAATCTACACTAGGGCTTTTCAACATTTTCGCCGATTGTGCCATTTTTAGGATATGGCAATATTCAAGTACCATCAGTCACCTAGCAAGGTGTCAAAAACTTGATAACCAAAAAAAAAAAAAGACAAAAATAAAGTACAGGTAGTCCTCGACTTACAACAGTTTGCTTAGTGACTGTTCGAAGTTACAACTGAAAAAAGTGACTTATGACCATTTTCCACACTTATGACCATTGCAGATCCCCAGGGTCACGTGATCCCCTTTTGCAACCTTTTGAGAATAGCTGGGGGGCGTGGCCAGCTCATTGTCACTCAGGTTGAGGGGCACCTGTGGGGGGGCGGGCTCTCTGGTGGAGGGGGATGGTCCACCGGAGGAGCATCACCATCTCTTTTGGGTCATGCAGGGGACTTCTGGATGGTGGCATGGGTTTTCCGGAGCTCTGGGCAGCAGAGGACAAGCGCCCAGTTTAGCCCTCGAGCTCACAGGGCGCCAGGACGCCGCAGCCCAACCCAGTCCAGCCCCGCTTCCCCGAGGGGTGCCCAGCTGCGCTTACCTCCTCCTCAAGGCTGCTCATGGGGAGTGCAGGAGGGCATAGTGCGTGGGTCAGAGGGAGGACCCCTCCCTCTCCATGCAAGGAGACCCAGCTTTGTAATCAAAGCATCCTTAGCGATAGGATGGGAGACTACCAGGATAGGCCAGGAATGAGGGGGCAAGAGGCAAAAGGGCAGCAGGGCTGCTGGTAGCCAAGTGCTAAGGCAGGATTTCCCTCAGACCCTCCCTCTCATTCCAATCTCCTCCCTTCCTCCTTTCCTGCCTCCCTCTGTCTCATTCCCATTTCCCTCCCATCCTCCTTTCTTTCTGTTTCCTTCCTTCCCTCCTCCGCATTCTCATCTCCTTCCTTCCTCCCTCCGTGCCCAGGAAGGGATAAAGGGAGGGAGAGAGGTTGCCAGTGCGACTGGTGGCCGTGCTGCCGGTGGCCATGGCTTGAAAAGCCACTGTAAATTCCTGGACAGAAGCCACACAGCTTTAAAAAGAGAGTGACGGGAAGATATTTGTGATGACAGAGGGAGAAAAACAGGGAAGAAATATAGCTAGGGAGGGGTCACCCGCCACGAGGAATGAAGAAAGGCACCGTCGGTTGGAGGTGACCAGCATTTGGCCCTCGCCACTTCACACACCTGGCTCTGTGGGCTCCGGGGGAGGAAACGCCGCGAGCAATGTGAGAGTCCACATTACCTCCATGATGCTGTCCAGCCCCCAGCCTGCCCGGTTTCAACAGGTAGCGGCACATTCTTACCACATGGAGAGGCTGGGCCAGGCAAGACAGAGCTGGCGAGAAGCCGAACCTACCTGGGTGCGCATACAGGAGGTGGCGAGGTTGCGAGGCCTGGTGTCCCGGGTGAAAGGGAAGAGCTCAGAACATGGTCAGCCTGCAGTAAGCCTCCTGTACGTGTGCCCAGGCAGATTCGGCTTCTTGACAGCTTCATTTTGCCCGGCCCAGCCTCTTTGCGGTGAGAGGAGAGCGTGCCACTACCTGCCGAAACTGGGAAGGCTGGGAGCTGGGCGGCATCATGCAGGTAACGTGGACTCTCACGTTGCTCACAGCGTCCCCTCCCCCAGAGCCTACAGAGCCGGGTATGTGAAGTGGGCGAGGGCCAGTTGCTGGTCACCTCCAACCAATGGTGCCTTTCTTCATTCCTCGTGGAGAGTGACCCCCTCCCCAGCTGTGTTTCTTACCTGTGTTTCGTTGCCACTTGTGTGCACGCCCGGCATGGATGGCTGCCACGAAGTTGTAGATCTGCACCTGGCCAGCCTGCTTTATATCCTCTCCTCTCCCCCCCCTTTTCTCTTTGGTGTAGGTCCAGCTGATTCCTCTTCCCAAGACTGGTTTTTCTCTCCCTCTCCCACCAAAATTGCCTCCTTTTATATCCTCTCTTGTCTCTGCCCTCCTCCTCCTTTCTCTTCCGTGATCCTGGGGCCTCTGTCTCACCCCATCAGCCCTTGAAGACTTTCTCACAGCAAGTCCTGTGCTGCTCCACTTTAGCTTGTTCCCTCCCCCCCACTACACTTATCTAGGCTAGGCAGGATTGCGTACCACCTGCCAGGTGCCACACTTGATCTACACTTTGCCTTGAGAATGAAAGCTAGGATATAAATCCAATTAAGCCATAGATAATAATGGACCATAGATATCACTGGATACTTTTCTGCTATATTGATAATAGTCATGTACATGAAGCTTTATAAAGTAACTTTAGCAAAATGTTATATCGGAGGAGTCATGTTTCTTTGCTAAAAGTTCCTACCCAAGGAACTTGCATTCTAAATCTGACAATAAAAGAGACAAGGTTTAACAGAGATGAATACTGTACACTAAGAGATTACGACAAATGCTTTGCAAAACTGATCTTTGAAGGAAGAGAGATGTTTAAAATCAGGATGTAAGGAGGGATATTTAGAAAAAATACAAACTTAAGACTTTTGGGTAGTGAGGAAGGAAATGTTAGAAAAATGACATAGCAAAATATAGCCTGCAACTAAGACAAGACAAGGTCCATGGTTTGATTACAGTTTTAGAAGATATTAATAAGGCAATGGTTTAAAACAGGCGAATACTAAGAGAAAATAATTATTTGAGCAACAGCTTTTAAGAAATGTAAACAAAAAAGTTGCAGAGGCACTTAAAACAGTGGTTCAGTTGAGGACAATGTTATATGAAGTATAACATATTTGATTATCAGATGGGTAAATAAATATTACAGTCAAGTTGCTTTAATGAATTATTTAAACCCATGCCAACTGTATAAGGAAACAAAACAGCTACTTACTGAAGTCTTACTTTCTGTGTTCAGACCTGAAACAAACAAACAAAAAAATACTGGATCCAAAACAGCTCCTTTCATTTGCTTAAGTAAATCAGAATCTACCATTTTTATTTAATAATATTGATATACTGAATGTTTAACCCTGGTTTTGCTAGAACTTAATACTTCAATCCCTCAGAGGCAACCCATGGCTCCAGAGCCGCTTTCGGCTCTTTCATCCCTCCGCTGCGGCTCCCAGTCCTTCGCCCAATCCTTCACCACTTTAAAAAAAAAGTTCAATCAATCAATTCCAACTTCTCACGGAATCAAAAAGATCTCGTGAAGTTAGAATTGATTGATTGAATTTTTTTTTTTAGTCCCACAAACAAAAGAAGTTTGTGGGCAGTTCCACAAACTTCTTTTGTTTGTGAGACTGCACAGGGCAGCAGAGGAAGTGACAAAGGACTGCGTCGGAGCTGGAAAGAAAGTACCACATGGGTCTCATCGGGGACGCGGGGGAGGGGTTCTGCCAAGCATCTTGTACGGAGCCGGGGAAACGGGTTGGGTGGGGGGAGCTGCCAATGCCACTGGCATGAGGCTTGGCAGATTCCCCCCCTCCAAGCAGCCATGATACCCCCAGCCAGCTAGCCACCATTGCCTGACCTACCCCTCGCCTGGCTGGCCGACTGACACAAAGCCTCACCACTCTTCTCCTCCTCATTCTCCTCTGCTCCATCTGAGTTGAAGAAAGTGGAGGCACAGCAGTGGGATTGCTCTCAATAAGGTGGGCGCATACAAGCAAGCAGCGCACCTGGCTCTCATTGTTTGAGAGCAATCCCGCTGCTGCACCTCTGCTTTCAACTCGGATAGAGCCGAGGAGCTGCTGGTGGCGCCTTGAGTGGGGAGGACGAGCTTTGTTGCTGGACCATACCTGGGCTATGCCCTGCCGCTGCCTCCCAAACTCTACCTTCGCTGCTGGGGAAAGCTGCGGCGGCAGGGTGCTCAGCATGGGGGAGGTAGGGGAAAAAGCTGTGGTGGCAGGGCACTTGGCGCGAGGGAGGTAGAGGGAGAAAGCAGCAGTGGCAGGGTGCTCTGCGCAAGAGGGTAAGCAGCAGCAGCAGTAGAGCAGTGGAGTTCTGGCCGGGGGGAGGGGGGGAAAGAAACAGGGTTTTGTGGCTCCCGGTGGCATGGACAGATAAATTGGCTGTCAGTATTTCAATGCCTCACAAACTATCCATCTGAAGTAATCACTACGAATGATCATGTGGAAATTATCTCAATTTTTGCAATATTTTTTATTAGTTCTTCTCAAAAGTTAAGATGCTGGAACTCCAAATAATGGCATAACAAATTAGCAGCAATGGTACACTGGAATATCTGCAAAAAATGCCATTTGCCTACAAGGAAAAATTGGTGAGACCACAAAATAGACAAAATAATAGAAAATGAAGAAGCTGAAGTGTTCTGGGATTTTAGAATTCAGACAAGCACCTGTGACATAACACCCTAGATTTAACAACTGTAGATAAGAAAGACAAAAAAAGTCCAGATACATGGCAGGACCCAGAGTCAGCATAACAGAAGAAAAAGAATTACAGAAAATTACAAAATACAAAGACCTGCAAATAAAAGAATGACTGTGGCAAAAGAAAGCAAAGATGGTACCAACTGTAATGGATATCTTGGGTGAAATTCCAAAACATCTGGAGCACCACAGCAAAACTATCACCATTGAGAAAATCACCATCAATAAAATTGCAAAAGGCAGCTTTACTTGGAACACCTTACATCCTACAATGATACGTTTAACACCATCAAACAATATTTGCCTACTTCACATCTTTTGGAAAGACTGGATAGGTAGATAAAATTGCCAAATTCACTCTAAACATCTGGCTGACTGTGCGACAAACTATAATAATGACAAAATCACCATCAGTTAATTGCAAAAGGCAGCTTAACTCAGAATAGCTTATATCCTGCAAAGATATCTTTAACACCAACAAATAACATCTGCCTATCCTGGGTCCTTGGGAAAGACTGAATAGGTGGAAAAAATGCCAAATCCAATTTGAACCTCTGGCTGACTGCAATGAACCATAATAACAATAAAACATTTGGAGCACCATTTGAACACCATTGGCATTGACAAAATCACCATCAGTCAATTGCAAAAGGCAGCTTTACTTGGAACACCTTACATCCTGCAATAATTCTTGAACACTATCAAACAACATCTGCCTATCCCAGGTTCTTGGGGAAAACTCAATAGGTAGATAAAAATGCCAATTCCAGTTTAAATATCTGGCTGACTGGCAACCAACCATAATCATATATATTTTAAATCTCATAGTCACATACCTTTAGTTGAAACAGCAGGCATACCAAACCTATGGAGAAGGAAAGAGCGTTATGAGCAACTGTAATGTTTAAGTTTAAAGCCATACACACAATAGACTAGTTTGAATACTACAACAGCTGAACTGTGAATAATTTAAAAATAGAGTAAAGCCCTTCCTGGCATATAAAGCTGGTCTTGATCAGAAGAGCAAGAAAACAGTGAATCCAGGTTTCATCTTTACCATTTAAAGAATCACTACCAACTGAGTGAACAGCCTACAATATATTTAGAGAATTGTATCTTGCTTTTTCATATTATCTTAATGATAGAATCCATAAATTTATCTGTACATCTCAACATTCAGGATGTTTAAGATATATAATGCATGCTATTCTATCAGGTAGTGACAGAACAAGGAAAAAATTCAATACTAAATATTTGTTTCAATTTTAACTGTTTGCAGTCTTTCATCTTTGGCACTTGTATCAGCATAAATCAAAACATAGAATATTATATAATTCACAAAAAGAATTTTAGTAATTTAGGAATGCTTTAACATTTGTTAGAAATTAAAGCTGCACTTTAGTGCAGTGTACTGTTCCTCCATTTTAAAGTAATTTGGCATTTTTCTGAAAAGCTTCCTAAATAAGCAATAAGAGAAATACCTACTCTGCTCATCTATGTCTTCCATAATACTGTTCTGGACATCCCATCTTGTATTTCATTTTTACTTAATTAATAAACCCATTTCTTAATTAGATGTGAAACTCTGGATTAAACTGTCATTATTCCCAGATCACCTGGCCAGTAATTACTAACTGGAATTAAGAGCCCAGGATAACCAGATATTATAGGCTCAGGCTCCCTACTTCTAATAAAAAGATCAGAACCAATAATTTCAAAAGTTGTTCATTGGAAAGCAAAATATTATTTATGAGAGGCTTCAATATTACACAAGCATTCCTACAAAATAACAGCTGTCCACAAGACAAATTCCAGAAATTCTTAGTTGAAATTGCCCCAGTTAAGAGGACACTAGTTAGAGGATGCACCCAGAATACATTTCTATTTATATGACTAAACAGCTGTAGGGAACAATAATAATCAAATACTTACTTACCGAGCTGCTCGTGCAGCTTTCTTACTTTCCAAGCTCACAGGAACATTGAATCTCTCTGCTCGCTTCTGCATTCTCTAAGATTAAAGATAAAATACATACACTCTAACATAGCCAACACAGAAAAGAAATGCATTTAATTTTGTTGCTTATTTACTGCATTTTTGTACATTTCAAACTTTCATTTTTAGTGCAGTCTTGGCTATTCTGAGTTTTGGAAAACAAGACATATAGAAGCAGGTGAGGATTATCGTGAACCAACACCACACCGGAAGTGGTGCCATAGAAAATCCTGCCAAATGTGAAGGTGCCAAAGGAGTACTGCTAGTGAAGTTCATGGACCCTGGTTCGACCATCAATTCAGAAGTCTACTGTGAAAGGTTACAAAACGAGCCATCCAAAACAAGTGTCGGGGCATGCTGACTTCCGTGTGGTATTGGTTCATAAAAATGCTCGCCTGCAAACCGCTAGACACACCCAAGAACTTTTGAAGCACTTTCCGTTGGGATGTTTTTGATCACCCCCCCCCTTATAGCCCAGATTTGGCACCAAGTAACTACTACTAAGGAATTTCAAACCTTTTGCAGATGTTATGACAAGTGCCTCAATTTGAATAGCAATTATGTCGAAAAATAATGTAATGTTGTAATTTTCTAATGTGTATAATAAAAGTTCTGTATCTGCAAGTGTCTGTCATTGATAACCAAACGGAGGTTTATTTCCAAATTGCCCTTGTAATTACCGTGTTTCTCCGAAAATAAGACCAGGTCTTATATTAATTTTTGCTCCTAAAGATTCATTTTCTGGTTAGGGCTTATATTTGGGGACATACAGTACTAAATGAATCCGTCTGGGTGATGATCTTAACTGGGGCTTATTTTTGGGTGGTGCTTATATTACGAGCGCCCTGAAAAATCATGCTAGGGTTTATTTTCCGGTTGGGTCTTATTTTCAGGGAAATGTGGTAGTCCTAAAGATAATCAGGCCCCAAGTCATATAGAGCTTCTCAGGTTAAAAGCAGCACCTTAGACTGAAAAGGTGAAAATCTGTGTCTTTCAGAGTTATCTCATCAACGTCTACCCCAAAAGGGGAAAGTTAGAAATGGCTTAAAATGACTAAAGGCAGGGCTGACTACTTAAAGAAAGGAGTGCAGCTGTGCCTTTTTCAAAGACTGCCACATCTCCTCCTACATAAAGAAGTGTGTTCACCACAGTTTCTTCCCTGACTGCTATATGCATCGCCTTGAGTTTCTGAAGGAAAGAAGAGATACAAATCTAATAAACAAATAAAACTTAATATTCAGAATATCTTTCTGCTTGTTTTTTATAAAAGTTTTTATTAATTTTTAAAAATTACAATCTTTAGTGCTTAGTAAACAACGTTGTCTGTGTTCAAATATTTAACATTAACTTTTTCAATATAAATCTATTCAACACTACACAATCCAGTATTTTTTCCCTGATCCTCCTTTCTTTTCCATATTTTTTCCATTTTCCCTTCATTACACCATTACAGTTTTTGGTAGTGTTGATGTGTACAAAGTTAAATATAAGCATCTTTATCATATTTTACTAATATCATACAAATAACAATAATATCAATTCATAAATCAATTGTCAACTCAATATCCTGTTTTTTGTGGTCTTGTTAAAGTTTGATTTCCCATCAGTATTTGAAGCATCTTTGTCAGTTATGATTTTCTCAATATTAATAACATTTATATAGCTGAAAGTTTTATTCAAATCAATCCTTCTATCATCATATTTCCCATATCAAAAAAGAAAAAAAAATGCTATCTTAATTCTAAATCATATCTTTCATTGTAAAAGTCTAATTATATCTAAAACTCTTCCGTTCTTTTAATCTTATTCAAAGAAGTATTTAAAAATATAATGCCCCCTCTAAAAGGTCAAATCTTCTATTTTCTAAATCTGACTCTCGCTTTCTTTCTTTGCCAAGTCACTTTCCAAGCCAGGGCAATTAGATTGTCCAGAGATTTTCTTTCTATTTTTGTAAAAATTGCTTGGCATGAGGAAGACAATTTAGGAAGGGTATTTTTTTTTGGGGGGGGGGGGATTCCGTCCATTTATATTCCTTAAACAACTCCCAGTTCCTTTCTCCCTCCATTTCTCTTTTCATTTCCTGTCTCCCAAGTTGTGACATTTCCCTTAACAGCTCTATATTCCCTTTTTAAAAATCTTTTTTCCTTGCCATCAGATATATTTTCAGACCTAAGGGGTAAAAGGTCTTTTGCATTTTCATTGTTATAGCTAAGTCTTGCAGTTCTTTTGTCTCTTCTATCTCTAAATCCATTTCCTCTGTTTCGTCTTCTGATTTCTGGATTATTTGTTCATACATTGTAGTCGTTATAAGGGAGCGTTCTAGTTGTAGATTTAATTTGGAAATTTGCTCTTTTATATTGTCTAAATTGTTTTTAGTCTCATTATGATTTCTTTTTATATTCTTTTTGCATTCAACAATTGTTTGGTGAATTAGTTGTAGCATAGAATATATTTCTTTCTGAAAGGTGTTTGTTTTTTCTTGAGTCATCATTCCTGGAAATTAGTTTTCTGGTCTTTATATGCATTCTTTATAATCTAATAGATTCCAAAGTATAAGTTCAATTCTGAAAGCAATATTTTATAGTAATCTCTTGTCTCAAATATCCCCAAAATTGTCTCTTAGGTAAAGTTATAATCCAAAATGTTCGAAGTTGTAATCCAAAATGTTTAATCTCTCTGAAAACAGTTCAAAAGTCTCTCCCAGCCAGGCGTAATCCAAGGTCAATTTTTTTTCTCTCCCACTAGCTCTTGAAGTTAAAAGTCCAAGCTCAGTAGGTATTTATAACCCAAGAAAGTCAGGATGAGTATGCCAAAATATTTTCCTTTATTGCCAGCTGTTCTCCCATGGTAGGAAAATTATAGTGCACAAATCCACCACTAATGTAATTCAAAGTCCATTTTCCACTCTTAAAACAAAGGGTTGATTTCTTATATTTCACCTCAGTGTTTTTTTCCAAAGAGAAAATCTTAACAATTATCTCAGTTTTCAAATTGATCAAAACTGTAGTTTTGTATTACTTCCACTTCAGTATTATGTATTTCTGTCCCCCGTATTTAAAACACCACTTCTGTTCATATCTGGAGGTTTTAGGCTTCTTGGGAGCCTTTCCCAGGAAATTCAGTTGAAAAATAGAAAAGAAAGGATCAATAGTCTCACCCAGTCCAAACATGCTGTTTACTATATGCTAATTAAAGCTTTTGTTCTTCAGTTGCCAGCAGCTAATGGTCGGGTCTTTCCCCTGCTGGTTTAGAGGGCTTTCCTTGGATCGAATGGAGAGACCTTCGTTTCTCCGTGATCGACAAGGCACCCCTCCTTCTCCATTGCCTCTTCGGAGCGACTTTAGGCCCTTTTCAGGGCGAAATCGAGCGCAGAGGCAGAGCCTTGCCTTCCTGTGTTCGTCTCGCCATGACGTAAAACCGGATTATGTTTAAATATACCACATAATCAAGGTAGCAGAAATTGACAGACCAGAAAAATCAATCAGTATTGGCAGTTAATTATTGCCCTGAAAGCACTATACTAGCACTTGTTACACTCTCTTCAATAACACTTATATCAACAGAGTTTTTTGAAGACTCAACTTTTTATAGTGCAAGATATTTGCATGCCAGCAACAGGATTTCAGTTGCCATGAAAAGCAGGACATTTTCTTTCAACAAACACAATAATACTTCATTCTTGGGTCAAAGTTTCAATGCTATGCATTGCAGCATAATATATTGTAAACCCCAATCATAAATGGATGATAAAAAGACACAAGAGAAACCCTGGCATGACTAATGTTCTTCCTGTCCTATCTATACAAAGCAAGCTATAGCTTAACCAGCATAGAGATTATTTTAAATCAGGCACATAGCACTTTTACAAAAATATATGTATTCTTAAAAATTATGAGATTGCTTACATAAGAATTAGCAAGAATATTGCACAGAATCAAGAAAAAGTGCTGAAAATTCAGCTGATCAATTCAGAAAAGAACAAGTTAGAACAGTGGTTCTCAACCTTTCTAATGCCATGACCCCATAATACAGTTCCCCATGTTGTGGTGACCCCCAAGTGGGTGTGGCCACCAATAAGAGGGAGTAGGACAGCTAGGGAAAAGGGAAAAAATGGCGGACAGCGTGGTTTGGCGACCCCCGTGAAATGGTCGTTCGACCCCAAATGGGGTCCCGACCCACAGGTTGAGAACCACTGAGTTAGAACAACAAATATACAACAAGAGACTTAAAAGGTCGTTCAAACAAAATGGAAAGCCATAGTTTCTTGTTATGTGAGTTGTATGATCTTTTATCTTGCACATTCACCTTCTTTTAAAGTTACAAATAAAGAAACACTTCTCTCCATAGCTTACCTTGTATCTATATGCAACCCCAAAATCATCTTTTCAATCCTAGTTCACTAAAGGCCACTAGGAGTTACAAGAAATATAAAACAAATAGTTTATCTCTGGTCAAATAGTCCAACTTTATATTCCTTCTTTTTGCTCTGCATAATCTTGACTTTTAAATCATTATTGTAGCATCACAGGATTTTATCTTTCATCACTCTTTGGCATTTAGGAGTCCTCAAAACTTTCACCAGCTTAGTTTGTACATCCCATAAAGAAACACTGTCTGGGATTTCTGGTCAGAGCTGTTCCATGTCCAGATCCTTTTCTTGATTTGTCTTTTGTATTCCCATTTTGGTAATGTCGATTTTGCAATCTTCCATGCCTTGAAACTCTACAATGTCTGTGTCAGGTAAGTTTTTCTCATCATCTTCTGAAAGCTAATTCATTGAAAACTGTATCCTTTCTGAGATAATGGTTATTAATATTTCAGTATGTTTCAAAAAACTCTTAAAAATACAAAAAGTTATAGTCGGCTTAGCCATTTTAATTCTTTTCTGCCCAATCTTTTAGATCTTTCTAGTGTCCATTTGCAAATTTCATCAAACCTAAGTTGGTTCATTTCAGTCATTTTTATATGCATACGTTATACCAAATTTCTCTGGTCTCCTAATCTGTTTAAAACTTTCTTAAATCACCCCCTTTTTTTGCCAATTTGCCAATTCTCCATTTAAAACTTATCAGGTGTCAAATTAAGTTTGCCATGTTGAAGTTCCCTAATACCCATAAATGGTTAAATTGAACATTTCCAAGTGTGATTAGAAAGTGAGTTAGGTTTGCTTAATGTCCTTATAAAAGATTCTGCCGCTGCTCATAGCAAAGATGTCATCTCCCTCAGCTCCTGGAACTCAAAACCACAGGAGCTGTTTTAGGGTCTCCTTGTAAGAAGCTACCAATTAGAGCACCAATAGGCAATCTTTCAATCTCTCCTTCTCCAGAGAGATTTGAAGGACCAACCTACCCACTGGTCTTTTATTCTTCATAGCAGTCTTCATCTCTGTTCATTTGTGGAGACATCTTCAGTCAGTTATGACTCATACTGGAAGTCAATGTATGTGAACTATTCTCAACCTAATATTACAAGATAAGCAATATGCTAGAAAATTAGAAAACCTAAGTCAGTTACACTCTAAAATACTAGCTAAATCTCCGCTGTATTGACAAAATTATGGTTTGGGCAGAAAACATTTCCCATATTTGGGTGCTGTACCTGGAAAGTACGAGAAGGCAACTTACCTCCATTTGAGGAATTTCTGAGGTAATTTTCACCACCTTTTTTTCTGCACTTCTAAGTAAAAGCAAAACAGATTGATCAAAACACAAATTATTACTTGCCTCTCATAAACAAAGTAAATTCAGTTTGATGGACATAAAAATACATTACTAAATAAGGGATGCTTACTGCTTTGAGATGAACTGCAAGCCAGGGACACTGAAAGGCCTTGCTTTGGGATGTATAGAATCCCATGTTTGATCTGTTACTAAGACAGGGCTATTTCCTGCTTGTGGCTATTATGGAACACAATATGCTCATACTTCAAGCTATGTGGCATTGTGGTGCAGTGGTTAGTATGCAGTGGGGCAGGATAACTTCGTCCACACATCAGGAGTTTGATCCCGATTGGTTCAAGGTTGATTCAGCCTCCTTCCGAGGTCAGTAAAATGAGGACCCAGATTGTTGGGGGCAATATGCTGACATTGTAAACCACTCAAAGAGTGTTGTAAAGCACTGTAGAGCGGTATATAAGTCTGCTATTGCTATGTGAGTGTGTTTTGTCTTTCCCATAGCTAAAACTTCACCAATATGATGCAAGCAAGATACATAAGAACTGCAAGTCCAAAAATTCTCAACCATAGTGGTTGAAAAGAGTGGAATTTTGGAGATGTAGCCATATCTGGAGAATATCATGTGGAGAAAGCTTACCACGGGCATTAAAATATATGAGCTTCTGAAACCTAATTAAGCATAACCAGCTGTCACCAAAGATATTTTGTTGGTAACCTTCCCTTCCCTACAACTATGTATTTATCCTAATTTTTCTCTGATAATAAAATGAGAGAAATATTACACTAATTTTAGAGCTGGCACAATTCCCAGTCCTTGGTTTGGTACATTGAGAAATAAGGAAAATATATGGATCCATAAATTAACATAGATATCTGAAAATAGTCCGTTTTTTACTCTACAATTATAAAAGCAGCACTGTTGTATTATTATCATGCCCATTAAACAACATCCCTTTCAAGATGTAGCAGAAAAATCTAGCAACGAGATGGTACTCTCAGAGGAAAGACAATCTTAAATGAACTCTCTTCCAGTCAGAAAAGCTGCCCTGCCATGAATCTAGAGAATGAACCCTCAAATAATTTTTAGTTCTACAGCTACAGTAACAGCTGAGGATCTTTTAATTGGGCTTCTCCAGAGAATGAAGAGCTGCCCATAATATAGATTGGGCTACCTTTAGCTTGTTGCTGAGACAACATCCTCATTGTTGTGGCAAGGGAGAATTTCAGACAATAAATTTCACTTGGTGCTATCCACGGTGCTGGATTTATCTGTCTTTTATAAAGAGAGCTTTTTATCAAATAGAGTAAGGACTCCATTTGATGTTCTTATTTGCCTGAATTCTATCTACTTAAAAACATCACTTATTTAGGCTTAACAATTCTACATGGACTACTTTTTCTGTGTGGTTATATTCCTGTGAAGCATTACTAGCTTTCCCTATAAATCTGTGTGGTTATATTCCTGTGAAGCATTACTAGCTTTCCCTATAAATCTTGAGTAACTACATAACATTCAAAGAGACTTCTGTCTGTAAACAATTTACTCTGCAAAACCCCAGAACTCTTCAAACTCTGTCTTGGAATAATTGTTCCCTAAACATTACTCCAATCGTGTTATACTTTACAAATTAGAATATTACCACAAAATAATGTTTAATTAGTAAATGTTAGCAATCTCAGAAGAATTATTAAAATACTTCAGGTGGTAACATCAACCTATTAAGGAAATTTGGCACATTACATTAATGAAAAAGTTTATACAGTTGTAAAGGCAGAATATATTCAATTGAGGCAGAATATATTCAATTGCCATTTTGATGGTTAAAGAAAAATTCATAGTATGATAAAGATTTAATAAAATGGGTAAAATATATATAGAAATATACCTTGAAGGCAACCTTATGCTAATTCAAAAAGGTTATTAGACTTTATGCTAAAATATTTTTCTTACTTTCCATGTCTAACAAAGAAACAGATGAGAGAATGATATGGACCTAAAAATAATATACTCCATAAGGCAGTATGGAGCAACTTAGCAGAAAAAGAAATTTGAAGATAGCTATATTATTTTGACCAAAGCAAGCTTTGACTTAACACATGAATTCCAGATTTCCCTTAACAAAGTGTATGAGCAAAGGATCAAATATGAGGCTTGACTGCAACTCTTCATTTAATCATACGGTGATAACTTTTGTATTTTAGTTAATTTACTTCTGCTATCTATACCACACTGAAAGGAATAAAACTATTTTCAGCTCTGAGGAAAACAATGTCATTTAACTCAAAAGCATGAGAAAAAAACAGTACATTGCTGAAGAAGGAAGACAGTTGACAAAAAAGAACTCAATCTGCCTGAACCACTGCAATTTAAATTCACTCTTTCTCTCCTACAAGCCAATGTAAACTGGACTATTATTTGAACTTCTAAATATTAAAATATTTGGATGCCTTCTGTATGAAGATAAATGAGATTTCACTTAGCATATAATTGCTCATACACAAAGCAAAACAAGGAAAAGGATCACTTATACTAAGGAGTCAATCCTAGCCAGAGAGCTAATGCCTATGTTACATCCCCTGAGAATTTTATCCTTTTATGACCCTATATTAACAAATGAGTTATAGCTCGGGAAATAGCTATGGTTGACTTTTAGCTCGGCCTATCTCCATATCAAATATATACTTCTTTAACAATGTTTAATGGAAGGCAGTTAGCTGTTTGAACCAAAATATAATGGAGTAGATGTGCTTGGAAGTTTATGCTCTAAAAACAAGGTTGCGATTTGGAAGAAAAAACAAAAGTGGAAGACACAAAGTTCGGAAGTTCCCAGGCTAAATGAAATGGCATCCTCCTCCTCCAAACAGCTCCCATAAAACAGTGGGTCATAGCCTGACTCATTAAGGTCTCCCATTTAGAGAAATGGATGGCTTTTGTTCAAGATTCCTGGACAGTTTTTCTATTTTATGCCCTGAAAGGTAGTAATGGTTTAATGACTTTTTCACAGGAAGCAATTCAAAACAGGAACCAGGGATTTGTTATCCCTGCAAGCACTGTTTGCAACCATATAGAGAAATGGCACCCCCTGCTGCCAAGAAGCTGATATTGTACTAAATATTCAGCTATGATTTAATCAAACATATTTCATTTTGGAACAATTTATTCCTTTTGAACAAACAATGGTCTAATCACATTCACCAAGAAATAACAGATTTGATGTTGTCACAGAAAACGAATATGCCAGTTTAACTGCTGCATTTACTGCACTGCACTATAAATTACAACTAAGAACGAATCCATGTAAGATTGCATTCATCTGATCGCACATGATCTTTAAAGAGCCACTGGCATAACAATCTAAACTACCAAATATATATTAATCTAAACTACCAAATATATATTTGTAAAGGAATAAGATTTTTGCCTGTCTAAGCCCTGTTTTGCTAATTCTGTAAACTGCCAAGAGTCATGGAAGTGAGAGCGGTAACTATATAAATTTAACGAACAATTTGAAAGGATTGTTTACTATTGCTTTTAAGAAAAATACAACGTACAGCATAGTAGATTCTTTCAATAAATATCATGAAGCTATTCCACTTTCACACCAATTTTAGGTAAACTTCAATCCTCATTTTAATGTTGTAATGTATTTATTTACATTTATTTATTTATTTACAAATATTTATATGCCGCCCAATCCCAAAGGACTCAGGGCGGCGTACAAGGTTAATGTATCACTTTTGTTGCAAATATATTTGTGTTTTAATTAGTATTCTTAATGCATTTTAAGTTTTTTCCCCCCTAATGTATCTGAAAGTCTTTTAGTTTGAAAAGTAGTACAAAATCACTCCATAAACAACTGGATTAAAATTTGACTTCTCAAGTACCACAAACCATTCTACAGGATTATTTCCAAATGCCAAAATCTAAGCTTGGAAAGCAAGCCTATTGTTTATTTACCTTAAACACAATTTTCAGTATGCGACATATATGATAATTTCACGACGAGCTACAAGTTCACCCTCCTTGACCTCTTTTAGCGCAATCTGAATGCTGCTTGTTTGACTGGGCCACAGGAGTACACTGTGTTTTACTTCAAATGTTCAGCTGACGAATGGCACGGAGGCCAAATGGGCAATTTGCTTCTCTCTCTCTTTTTTAGCCTTTAAAGCATGTCGTTGACACAGGTGGCCCTATTTGTTTTTACAACTTGCCTGTTCCTTGATGTGTAATGAGAATGGGCACTGCAAGTTAAACTGTGTATCTTTGCTTTGTCTTTGTTAATACAGGAGTAACTTCTAATATCTTTCTTTTGCCTAGGAAAGCTTGGTAGAGCTAAATTTGAAATTCTCCACCTAATGTATATATAGGGGAAATCAATGTATATGCAGAAAAATAAGAAAGCAATGTCAATTCGAGGGAGGAGAAAGTACTATAACAGCTTTGGTTATATAGGTTCTATAAATCACCTTTATCTAGAACACAATTTCAAATGTTTTGGAAAAGAATGTTGATTTTTTTAACAAAATCAAAGGTAAAATACATGCAGTATTACAAATTTAGAGATCAGGTAAATCTGTCTTAAGTACAAAAGAGTCACGAGGACTGGATGTTAAATTACAGAATTCTGGACTATACTTATTTTAAATACATTTCATTAAATTTGGCTTTTTATTCAGGTCAATTATATTTAGTTTCTTTGTACTCATACTCGAGATTTTCAAAATGTCACAGTATTTCAAATGTAATCCATTACTAATCCTTCTTAATCCAGATTCATAACCCACTTGCTTATGAGACAGAGTCAGAATTGCAATAAACAAATAGCAAATAAATTCTGAAAATGTACATAAATGAGTAATACTTGACCAATATATATTCTGAAGTAAAATTACATTTCAGGAGAGGTCTCTGTAGTCATATCCTCTTTGATGGGATTGTCTACGGGCTTCTGTTCTTCTTCCTGCAATGCAAATATTCAAAGTTAGAGAGTAAATCTACAAAGCAGAACAAATATAGGCTGCACAAACAGTTCCAGCCCAATCTTACATATATGTACCTTACTAAAGTAGACATTAATGAGTAAATTATGAATTAAAAGTAAACATTCACAGAATTTCATCTCTGAACAGATCCAGCCCCACAACCACAACTCTTGGTCAACAGACAAGTCTGCAAGTTTGAGGTAGGAAATATTTAACAGATATATGGGGGGGGGGGCACCATGGCCAGTATTTAATCTGTAGGCTATTGGATAGCCTATGAGAGTGGAGTGCAGACAGGGCCCTAAAAATGTTATCCTTATAAAAATTTATTCCTAACCAGAGTGACATTCAGCTGCACCAATGTTCTTCTCAAAGACTTTTAGGAAAATAAATACATTTGTATTCTCCATTTCTGTAAATATAATTCCTGCTATTAAGACTCAGAATAGCTCCCAAGCTGAAGTAAAATACATAGTTTCCTTCTAGGAAAACAGAAGAGAGAACAAACAATTAAAAGCTAGGGATAATTTAAAGAAATATATAACGAATGCATGTACATTTAGGCTATAGAATCACAATAGTATTGATATTTTTTTTCTCCAGTGAATTGAAGAGCTAAAATTGGTGTTTTTCACATATAAAGCAAGAATAACTGTTGTCAAGAAAAAGTGCAATAGCCCTAGCAATAGCCCTTAAACTTATATACCGCTTCATAGTGCTTTACAGCACTGTCTGGGCGGTTTACAATATCAGCATATTTTCCCCAACAATCTGGATCCTCATTTTACTGACCTCGGAAGGATGGAAGGCTTGAGCTAGTCAGGATCAAACTCCTGGCAATGAGCAGAGTTGGCCTGAAAAACTGCATTCTAACCCCTGTGCCGCCAGCTCTAATCTAGCATAAAGGTCAGAATTTATCTGATTATTTTATAAATTTTAGGATGAGCATATAAGATTATTGCTTCAATATAGTAACCCAACCTTGGGATGAGCATACAAAATTACAGTTCAATATAGTATTAATTTTTCCACATGTCCCAATATTACTATTTTTATGTGAATTTACAAAGTTTGACTTCTATAACTTTTGGATATTTTTGGAAATAATTATGCTTATATCTTTAGCAGCTCTCTTGATAATCATAGGCATTCAAGAATTTAATGCAGACAATGTGCCAGCTTTTGAGACACACACACACACACACACACACACACACACACACACACACATCATTACAACATTTGGTTTCTGTGCCAGCCATAGAAAAAAAGTAGTAGAGGATGGATGGATTGATCCAATTCTGTTCAATTAGTACTTGTGTAAAATGTTTTCTCCCCTTTATTCTTTGCTAAGAGCTTTTTGATTTATGCTGACTTTGAGAAGGAGGCCCTGCAAACATTTTATACTTTTATGGACTAACTTTAAGCTGATTTTTTTCTAAATGTCTGGATACATGTAACAAAAAGTAAATTTCCATAATCTGCACAGGCAAAATAAGTAATCTAAGAATCTTATTTGGATACTTTAGGAAGGCGCGTATGAAAATATGGGCCATACAGCAATATCTCAAAAACATGTGGGAACAGGACAGGGGGAGTAATGAATCATGTGAGAAATCACATTCAAAATTCATAATGAACTATGTTATTCCATGACAGAAAGATTATGCATCTTGAAAGAATGTAACTACTTAAAATAAATCATACTTCTGCATTAGTTTATTATTTTAGAGCACAACAACTATAACACTTATAAAGAACAAAAAATGTAATGCCATTTTAGCTGATTGTTATTCCTCATTAATACTTTAGAGCCTTTTCTAATAGTTCTATTACAAAGATTTTACATAAAATTAAAACTTATTTAAGCAATTAATATGGAAATTATAAGTTAATAGCTATACTTAATCAATTATCAAAACCGGTCAGAAGCAGCTTAAACTGTGTTTCAAATATATTTGGAAAAAAAAAAACCATAAACATTTTCCCCATTATAGTCAGTTACTGAAGTTACATAAACTATTCAGTTTCTAGCATAAATGAATCTTCTACTGTACTGAAAAATATCCTGTTAACCAGATGAGCTAAACATGACAACGTGAACAGTACTGTTCTGAATACTGTATTATAGAATGTTTTCTTATTATAATCCACATAGCCTAGAAAAGGCTAAACTATATGAATTATAATAATGCTTTGTTGTTTTGTTATGATTCCTTACACATTTGTAAAAAATAACATTCATAAAAATAATTACATCATTTAAAATATTATTATTTAGCACATGGCATATCATACATGGACTAGCAATATATATGAACATTTCACCTAGATTAGTAAACACAATGTTTATAAATGTTAAAATGATCTATGTTCGAATACCAATGTTGAGGCCATCTAATCACTGAAGCACAGCATCTTTTACATTTAAAAAATCAGATACTGGACCAGTATATGCCCTTAGCTTACAGCCAGTCACAATTTTGACGTGGCACCCTGCAGTCACACTGAGTGGAGGATACTATACTGTTGGGGCCAGACTACTCTGAGGACTTTGCTGACTCTCAAAATACATGGCAATGAAAATGAAAACAAAAAATTGACCCTTTTTTGCTATGAACCTCTAAATACTTGTTATAAAAATATTTCTAACATTTGCAGGCTAGATTTACTTCACTCAAGGATAATATAAAGACCACTTAATCATGCTTTTCAGGCATGGAAGAAATGGAAGGTAAAATTTTGTTAATGAAACAAAATTAAAAATTCTTGCTGAACAGGAATTCTGCTAACACAAATTATATAGCATTTACAGAATATTCCTACACAAATATATCCACCATTACATGATTAAAGAACTAATGCTACAATAGTATGACATAGACTTACTTCTGTTTCTTCTCCCAAAACATCTTCTTCATTTGCCTCTTCCTCAGCTAAATAATTCAGGGGAAATTGAAGTTATTAATTAAAATAGTTTTGATTATAAATCAAAGACACATTGAAACTTAGATCAGTGGTCCCAACCTTTCTGGCACCAGGAATTGGTTTTTGTGGAACACAATTTTTCCATGGATTGGGGGGGGGGGGAATGGTTTCATGAGCAACCTAAATCCTGCACATGCGCAGATGAACCATCACTCACTTACCCGCCACTTACGCAGTCCGGTTCCTAACAGACCATAGACCAATACTGGTCCACAGCCTGTGGCCTGGCCTAGAAGTTTAAATTATTCTGTCTTTATTTAAAAATATTTTTCTGTTTTAATGTATTTGTCTTTTTAGAGTTATCCAAAACATCTCAAAGTAGAAATAGTACATTGAACTGTAATACTAATTTATACACTGTGTACATAGGAAGACCTGTACAGTTTAGGGCTTCTACCATTAAATAAAAATCTTTTGGCCAATACTCTCTTTTCAGTTCCCATCTAACATTTCAACAATTGCACTGATAGCTGATTTACTGTGTATAACATTTTTTATTTCTACATTTTATATTTATTATACAATGGATGGCTTTGACATTTTTAAAAATGAAAGTTTAAAAGGAAAGTAGTTATAAATAAATAATAAAAGCTGGAAGTCATCTTTTTAATGTCAATTCACCATTATCACCCTACAGTTTTCCCCTCAAGTACAAGGTCTGCTTTTTTAATGTCAATTATCTGTGCATAGATGATTTTCCTATCTGATTGGCCCTGGAAGCTAAATAGCGCTTGGGTGGAAAACCACAGTACCAAAGGGAATATTGAGGCTGCAGGCCACACTGGGAAGTCAAAAAACATTCCAAAACAATGCAGCAACAAAGGATAGTGTTGCCAAAAACCAACATAATTGTATCCATGTAGTCTTCTTGAATTCCAGGGCATATTTTCTTTATGTCTGCAAGGTATTCTATTATTTAGCTTGCTTGCTCACTCTCATGTCGGGAAGTACCGAGGTGCTTCTGGATTGAAAGGACTAGCCAGCATCATCACCGTTGCCCAGGGGATGCCTGGCTGGGGCTCCTTTCATATCCCCACTGAAGTGGTACCCATCTAGCTACTCATGGTTGCCTGCTTTCAAACTGCTGAGCCTGCAGGAGCTCACCCTACCACGAAAGCAAACGGGTCTCAAACACGAACCTGCCAATTGTCAGCCCTATGTCCTAACCACGTGAACCACCATACTCCTGTATTATTTAGTTAAAAACAAATCTATTTGATTACAGTTTTCAGTTTTAGTTTGAAAAAAGCCAAAACCAGTTTGATGCTTAAGATATTTTATGGCTTGTACTAAGATGTGAGAAAGGGAACTAGGCCAAACTATATTAAGTTATACTTTGGTGTGGTATATGAATCTAGATATATTAGATTAAATAGTCGCATTAAACATGACCCAAACCTATTTTGCAACTGATCTGTAACAGGAGAAACACATTTGGCATATTGTTTAAAATATACAAGTAAATGTATAGAAGTTTTTTTTAGCTGGCATGTTCTTCATTCAGTTGTTTTTTTTACTAATGCTCACTTTTAGAATACAAATGATTCAATTATACTGTATGCAAATTATAAGAAGAAAAATCATTATTCCTAAATCTCAGGTGCCAGCATTGGAGACCAAAAAGGAGGACTATTTTTTTTCTTTGGCAGCACTTTAATAGGGACAAATCAGTGCCAGAGTTAGCCAGAATTTGTTGCCAAATGGTAAAAACAAAACTCAGCCCTCCATGGAAGAACAATCCAATGTTAGATATCCCCTTTGAGGTTAGAGATCTCTTTACAACCACAAAAGAAATAATAAATTCTATAAATCCAGTGGGATAGGATAGCAGCCTGTATCTACGTAGATTGGAATTATATTTATGTCCCTCCAAGATTAATCTCAGCATTCGGATTTGTTCAGTTGAAGAATTAATTTGCTATATTTTTTCAAAAACTTTAATTTTATGTTGTTGCAATATAATGAGGCAAAATGTATTCTGCAACAGCTATTATAATGAGTAGATCCTCCATGTTTATTTTAACTATTCTGAGATTGTGTATATTTAAAAATTTTAGGTGGTGACAAAGAAATATGATTTGCATTTTCCTTTACTTATGTCTTTTACTCTATTTTCTAACTTATGGCCTTATTACTGAGCTGTGTTTTACAGTTTACATTTTGATATGGTCTAATGGCTAATCAATAAAATATTATTGTTGTGTAAATCTGTAATAACAAAGATATAGGTAGCCCTCATTTAGTGACCACAATTGCGACTGGCAACTCAGTTGTTAAGTGAAATAGTCACTAAGTGAAACTACGACTGTACTTATGATCTTACTTCAGCTTTCCTTTGCTTTACAAACCTGAAAAGGTCAAGGCTGTCACTAAATGAGAATCTGTGCTTTGTTGAATGGAAAAATGTATTATGATTTTGAATTGCATTAACACTACTTAAAATAAATACTGCTTCCAAAATAAAGAACATAATTGTAATTTAATGTAGATTTTTTTAATTTGTGTTTTTTTAAAGTATATTAATTTTTCCTCCATAAAGGCCTATGTATTTAAATTTTCAGGATTTTTCCCATTTTACGAATTGTTGTCATTTCATTTTTATTGAATAATTTTCCAGATTATGGAGTAACCATTTCTGCTTTTTTATCCTTTTGGAAAATTCATTTTTTGATTGCTCCCTACAGTTTTTGGTATTGCTTTTTGTGTCGTATTTAGTAATTCTGCATTTTGCTGACTTTCCCAATCTGGCCTCCTCCCAGTGTGATGGGACTACACTAAAGGTTCCAGAAGTCGTAGATCCATGTCACTCATGGTGCTTGGGTAATCTGAACAGCTGCAGGCCCAATGCATCAGAAAGATGGTATTTTGGTTTAGTATATCAATATGTATGCATGTATATATGTATATGCATATGTTAGCCAATAACCTTTCTTAGTCACTTTCCTGATTTCTGTTTTAATTGCTACTATCCTTTATTTCTTTGTCTTTCTTCTATAATATAATATTATTTTATGTTTAGTTTGTTTATTAAGAGTGAAATCATAAAAATACTATAAGGGTTAAAGAATTGATTGGATCACTGTCTTATAGCCCCATCTACTGAAAAGAAGAATTGGAGAATGAACTATCTCCAAGCATGCCACAAATGTCTTTTGTCCTGGAAAATCTAAACTCCTCCAGTTTCTCTGACATGTTCTTAAACTAAGCTTTTTATTTCACATTACCCTTGGGTCTGGTGAAGGTTTCCTTCCCATAATTTCAAAAGAACGAAATGAGCTGAAAATAACAGGCATTTTATTGTTTTATTTATTCTTAGTCTCTCTTGTTAGAGTACTGTTGTGCTCCTCTACATACAATAAAACCTTGATTTAATGCATTAATTGGGGGTAAGAGTATCTGAATCCATGTCTTATTAACTCCACAAGGATGTAATTTGTGTCCATTTACATGGTGTATACAAAGATTTCATTATGACATAACTGTGGATATTGTAAAATTATATTTAATTGCCTAATCCAAGCTACTTTAGATGCAATGGATATATTATATGGGGGGGAGTTTGGGCAGAAAGTTTGCCTCTTGTTCCCCAAGTTTGTGAATCAAAGGTTTTTCTGTATAATTACAGCTGTACTTGGTTTCTAATTCCAGTACAAATATATATAGCCCTTGACTTATGACTGTAATGGTCATTAAGCAAACAAAGTGATTGTAAAATGAATGCCATGATCACAAAGTGAATTCTGCAGTCATAAAGCAAACCCATTATTTGCTATAAGTCATTTTTGCCAAAAACCAAAAATAAATGCCAATTTTGGGGTGAAAACCCTGTAAATTGCAGTCATATGCACACAGGATGCTATAAATGTCTCTAAATGTGGGCCAGTTGCCAAGCATTCAATATGTGCTATGATTGCTGGAATGGCAGTCATTGGAACTTCACACCAGGGTATAAATTTGTGTGTGTGAGGTGTCCATCCAACTTTGAACAATTGCTAACCTATCAATTGTTAAGTGTACAGGTAAGCACTACAGATAGTCCTTGTTTGATTACCACAATTGGGACTAGCTATCCATTATAAGTGCCATAGTCATTGTGCAAGTCACCAGTAGTTAAGTGAGACATAACATGATTGCGACTTGCAATTTTACTGCCAGCTTCTCTATTTACAGCTTCTCAGAAACCAGTTGTGAAGTGTGCAAATTGCAATCACATGGCCTTAAAATGCTATACTGTACTCATAAGCACCCACTGGTTGCAAAGCACCCAAATCTCATCCCAAAGATGCTTTTTCACGAGGCAACTGGACAAGACACCATCCAGTCAGAGCTGAAGAAGCTTCTTGGATGAGAAGCAAAACATCTTCAAAGAAAAACAAGAAAGTCTAGTTGCCTCATGAAAAAGCATCTTTGGGATAACTATGATCTGGATGACTGAGAATCTCCATAGACACCCAAATCTCAATTATGGTACTGCAGGACACTATGACGGTCATAAATGTGAAGACCAGTCATAAAGTTAGTTTTTTAGTGCTGCTGTAACTTTGAACAATTGATTGCTAAACAGGGCAGTTGTTAAGCAAGTAACAACACATATTTTATTCATCATTATTACACTGATCCACTCCTCTTGGTGTTTTAATTTACATTCTCCATCATAGGTTTCAGGCCCTCACACATCACATTTTTCACATTTTATATTTGATGTTTGTACATAGTGGCAATTTATCGCAAATTCTTCTTTTAACCCATTAATTTTTTAATCTGCGTGCAGTTTCACTTAAATGACACATTCAGAGTCAGCTCACCATATCTTTTGAATTAAGCCATCCTTTCATGCAGCAATCATATTGCTTCTTTTTTCAGGAAAATGTATTATTAAATATGCTTGACAATTTTGTTTGATCAATTTTCTTAGTCCAGTTGTTAAACTATCTGCAATTTCCTAGTTCCCTCTACCCACTACCCATAATTAAGAATTCAAACATGATATAAATTTTCCATGAGCAGATACCTGAATCTGGGGGGGGGTTGTTTTTGTTTTTTGCCAATGACCCTAGAATATACTTATTATCTCGGTCAGTTCTTTTCTGAAAAATTCAGCTCATCTGCCCTACATACATACACACCAACCCCCCCCCTCCACACACACATATCTTCCCTGGATAAATGTCCATTTATTTTTCTTCACTTCACCTTTAATTTTCAGTTGCTTAAATGTCATATTGCCTCTCAATAATATAATTACTTTTTCCCCCACTTAGAAACCACAGGAAAAATATTTGCAATTTTACCTAGATACATTAGTACTTGTACTGTACTATTAGTTTTCTTCTGATATAAGTGTGCTTTTGAAGCCTTAATAAAGTTAATGTTTATGAATGTGTTTTTATGATGTTAGATACTGCTTCTTGTGGTGCAGAAATCTAAAAGATAAATAAAAAACTGAAAATCAAATGGGTTACAAATTATGTCAAAGGGCTCTGCAAATTCTTTATTGCATCCCATTTTTTCTTGTACTTTTTTTGCTCAAATTTGTTTCCTGTTCTCTTCAATTCAATAAGAATTTCATTTTCTGACTAAAGCTTCTTTCCTCTTTTTATTAATTTTTTATGCTGCCCATCTCCCCAATAAGATGACTATGGATGGCTCTTTTCATAAAGAAAAAGAAATTAGTCCTCATAGAAAACAATGATTTTGTTTACAAAGCAAGGTTTCTGTCTGTCTCTATATTCAAAATTACTATTTACAATATGTTAGATATGACTACAAGCAGTAATGATTATTAACAGAATAGTAAAGAGCAGGGGTGTCAAACTCAATTTCACTGAGGGCCGCATCAGCATTGAGGTTGCCCTGGGAGGGCTGGGTGGGTGTGGCCAGAGTGGGTTCATCCTACTGGGTGGGCGTAGATGGAGTGGGTGTGGCTACTGGGTAGGCATGGTCAGTTCTATATCATTCGCGTCAAGGGTGCCTATGGGGGCCTGGGCAGGAGTGGGACAGATCTGAGGGTCTATGGCAGAAGAGGGTGGGGCTGGGGCAAGTGCCAAGGCATGGTCCACCGGAGCAAGTGCCAAGATGGCCACCACGAAATTGTACATTGGCTCCTGGCTGGCCTGGGCCAGAGTCAAGGCAGTGGGAGCTGTTCCCTCACTGTTTCCAGAATGGCTTCGCAGGCCACATGAAACCACTTCAAGGGCCACATCCGGCCCCCGGGCCTTGTGTTTGACATGTCTGGTATAGTGCTATTAGCTCTATTAGGATTCAAGTTCATTGTTACTCACAGCTCACCCAGTGGTTTTAGGTCATTTATTCACTCTCTGCTCAACCTATCTCATAGGGCTGTTATTGTGGGGAAAAATTAAAGAGTGGTCTTTATGCAAGTTACTTTGAATTCTTGCAAAAAAGGCAGCATGTCAACCATATAAATAAAGAAAATAAAGCAAATTGGTATAGAGGAACAAATCCTTTGTGAGAAACATGAAGACCAGTATCAATTGAGCTTACAGTATCATCAACTGCTGTCTGGCAGCAAGTGACCAGGAATTGCCAGTTTATAAAATGTCATCACAGCTAAAGACATCTGGTCTGTAGAGCACAATTTATGGAACTGTTCCTTTATTGATAAGATTCTTATCCCACCTTTATAATTGCATAAGTTCACTGCCTTCATTATTCAAGGCAGTGAACAAACATAACACTCCTTCCTCCTATTTTTCCCACAATAACCCTGTGAGATGAGTTGGGCTGAGAGAGAGAGTGACTGGCCCAAAGTCACCCAGCTGGCTTTTATGTTTAAGATGGAATTAGAATTCAGAGTTTCTTGGTTGCTAGGCCAACACCAACAAACTGGCTTTTTATTATTGTTAAGAGTCTATGGAAATTGCTGATGTACATATTTGTACTTTGACTGGATTCCCATTACTGGATATTTCTTACTATGCATTAGCCTCCACTTTATCTGCGCTTACTTAGCTCCTAGTGAAAAGCAGTCACTGTGCAATTCATTAAAATTAAAACAATACTTGAGCAGCTAGGAAACCTACATGGTGGTGTAGTCAATGACATTAGTAAAAATATCAGGTAGAACACAGAACCCTGAAAACATCAAGAGAACTGTCAAAGGCACCAGACTGGAGATCCCAAGATTAAGCTATAAAGAAAAAAATTCTTCCTACCGAAGAATAAGCATTTATCACAGATTCTAGTCATACTAGCAAGCAATCCCCAATTAGCTTAATTCTTAAGAATGCAGCCGTCACCATCATCTTCCTCTCTTCATGCCACTATTCACGAAACTAAGATATTACTTCTATTCTGGAGTTAGGAAAAAAGAATTAAGAGTGGGTGTAGGCCTGTGACACCTCCACTAGAAGTAAATACATTAACATTTCTTGCTGTAACAACCATCTTTTCTACAGAATACCTGATTACTTATGCTACAAATTAACATACTGTACACTTCAACCAAGGAAGATCTTAACAAAGAACAGCAAGGAACTTACCATGCTGCTCTAAATATGCCTGGAGTCTGTTGATGAGATCTTGCTTGTTTCCTTTTGCCTCCAATCCTCGGGCTAAACATTCCTGTTTCAACTCTGCAAGCTGTTAAAGTAGAAAAGATGCAATCTTAATCAAATACATGATTTCCTACAGACATATAAAAAATAAAATTAATATCTAAAAATCAGGCCAAAGCCTCCTTTTAACAAGTGAAAGAGATGACCTTCAGCGAAATAGGCAAGGTTCTGTTACTATAGCCTATTTCAATAAAGTATAGCTTTAATTTTCCTGTGGAGCTGTTTTCCTGATCTGGTCTGCCTGTAGAGTGGCACTCCTGCAGGCAGATTTAAGGATGACTCTCAATTTTTTACATCAACCTGACCTTGAAAGAAAAGCATCAGTTGGGAGTCTGAAACCAAGAAAACCGAAGAATTTCTTCAAAAATACATTCACATGGGTCAAGGAAGAAACTCAAGTTGGATCCATCGTTTTAAGGTATTAGAGCACAGTAATGAAACAATGATTTTCTTATAAGTTCACGCTAACAGCTGCCCGACAAGTAGGTAACCCTGAATTTCCACACTCTTATCACAAAAAGCTTTACTTGTTCAACTGTCGAGTCAAGCTCTTGGAGCATAAGCCGCAAAAAAAGGATGACAAAAAAACAACACGGAGCACTTTCAGGCGGTTTGTAGTTCCTGAAAACAAAGGTGAGAAAAGAAGGGGCGCCGTTCTCTGAAAAGGGGAGAGAAGAACAACGGTGGAAAGAGAAGGGTCATCGGGCAAGATCAGGTCCGGGGCGGGAGGCGACTCCAGACGCGCGGCGTGAGGAAAATCACAGCATCTCTTTCCCGCGCTCTCGGAAAGGTGACAAAGAAGTCCGTCCACGAACCCACCCACAAACGGAAGGCAGCTCCCTCCTACAGTCGAGAGAGAGGAGAAGGCCGAGCGCTGCTTCTCCGGGACAAACGAAAGGCGCGCTTCCACCCAGACCGGCCTCAATACCTTTAACTTGTGCAGCTCGACTGTCTCTGCTGCCATCTTAGCTTCGCCTCCCTCAACAATCCACGCCCAGGATGCAAACCCCTCCCCCCCAGACAACCCTCTCCGAGTTTTGCCCAATCCTAGCCGCGCTCTTACTCGGAACCCTGCACCTTCCAAACATCGCCCCTCACCATTGGTTCCGAGGCGAGGAACCGGAAGGAGGATAAAGAGTGGCAAAAGGAAACCGCCAATAGGAAGAAAGCGTTTGCTGACTGGCGAGGAGGAAGTAGGGGGGGGGGGGAGTTAGAAAACTGGCCGGGCTGTATCTGCGGGCGGAGGAGAAGAGACTGCTGGGGATTTTCTTCTTGTTTAGTAGCGGCGGGCGCCGTCGCGGAAGCTGGCAGGTAGGCAGCTGATGAGGTCTGGAGCAGAACTGGGGGCTCCCCGTGAGAAAAGAAGAAAAAGATCCTTTTTAGGGGACTGAACGAGGAGCGAGAATGTCCGCCGCTTTACTCTCCGTGTTAGATAGAAGGAAGCTTTCAATGCGCTTTCTAAACTAACAAAACACGGACCATCCTGAGCGGAGTAGAATATCCTCCCCTTTTCCCAGCTTCCAGCCCTTGAGATGGGACGGAGCTACTAAGCTGCAGCCTGCTGACCTCAAGCTGTTGTCTTAACCTGTGATGGAGGGAGGCTGAGATAAGAAGCGAACGTGAGGGGTCCTGGGTGCTCTCTGAGCTTGCTTGTTTTCTTGCAGACGTTTCATTACCAAAACTAGGTGACATCATCAGGGCTACTGAACGTACCATTGCAAGACGCTCTGGGTTTCTCGACCTCCGGAATGTCTGTGCTTTCCGGCAACATTCTTAATTCCAGAGCTGTTCATATCCATTAAAATAGTCCTTAAACGGAAAATGCCACAGTAATTAAAAAAAAAAAGGAAGGCAGTTGTGCTGGAAAAACAGCAATGAAGTCATTATAGTTAGGTGTTTGTGTGTGTGTGTGTGTGTGTAGTCTTTCTTTACAAAGAAACCATGATGATGAAATCCCCTGGGAGATGCATAATTTTCTCCGAATCGTCACTGTGGTCTGCAGATTCAGGGTGGAAAGAATTTGTGTTGCTGCTCCTTACTATCACAGCAACAGGAAGCTAAGCAAATAACAAAAAACTGCTGTCACCATTTGTTTTGTTCTGCCTCGCAGTTATGGCTCTGATAATAAAATTAAGTGACTCCCTCCTCTGGGTTTGTCCAGTTGGAGTTGATAGTGGTGAGAGATCTAGCCCAGGGTCCCCAATCCTTGGTCTGTGGACAGGCAGCGGCCACAGCATGCCAGAAACCAGACTATGCAAACAAGCGAAGCCCCATCCGTGGGATGCAGGCAGCACACAAAACCACACCCCCTCCAGTCTGCGGAAAAACCTCTTGCCACAGAATCGGTCCCTGGTGCCCAAAAGGCTGAGGGCCGCTGTTCTAGCCCACAGTCTTCCACTCCTGTTTTATATCTACAAGAGGCTGCTGGATGAGGTCATCTTACTGCATGGAATAAAGCAGGGGTGTCCAACCTTGGCAACTTTAAGACCTGTGGACTTCAATTGTCAGAATTCTCCAGACAGCCATGGAATTCTGGGAGTTGAGGTCCACAAATCATAAAGATGCCAAGATTGGAAACGCCTGGGATAAGGTATTGTGATCCTGATGATATCCAGCTTTATATCACTACTATGGGCTGACTTGGTGACGTGAAGGCTCTGGTTGCTTGCCTTTTCTGTGAAAAAAGAACATTGTGAAAGATTATTGTGAACTAGTGTACAAATATTTTAACAGCTTGCCTTAGTGGTACCCCATTGTTATGAGGAAATTAGGGTATGTGCAAGGATTAACTGAGTGATTCTGAGACAGTATTTTGATTTGGCATCAAATCAGGTTTGTTCTCCCCATCCCAAACTACCAAGCTTAAAGAGGGCCTGTTCTGTTTTTTGATGTGCATTCAAACACATATACCAACATATGGGTGACTACAGATATATACACCAATGTATCTTTTCTCAACAGCATGAATGTTGGAGTAGCCCACAGTGAGATGAATCCCAACACACGGGTGATGAACAGCCGAGGCATTTGGTTAGCTTACAGCATTTCTGTGGCTGTGCTCCATATCATCTTTCTTAGCATTCCCTTCTTCAGTGTCCCCGTGGTCTGGACTCTAACTAATGTTATCCATAACCTGGTAAGTCAAAACTCTTTAATCTTGTTATTGGCCATGTTCTGAGCTTTTAGGATACAAATAGACAGCTTTTAATCTTGGAGCCTCCTATAAGGCCTACCACAAATGACCACATTCCATCCAACTGTGGTTTCATTCACTGTACAATTTATTTAGGAATATTTTTTTCTAAAATAGTCCTGCTGTTAACTTTGAAAACGAGTATGGCTGCAGCCATTTTCCCTACTCATTTTCGGTTGACACGTAGCACGGAAGGAGGGGGGTTTACCAAATGCTTCGCTAGACTAAACAGATTTTCTCCCATGGGAACCAAGGTCATCAGCTGCTCCCGGGACTGCAGGCTGGGTGTTTTGTGAAAAGCCTCCCAAGAAGATGTATTGGGGAACGTAGTAGCTTGCATAGCTTCAGGGGTGGGATTTCTTAACTTTGTATTGGAGATTGTTACGTGTCTATTCAGACTTGGTTTCATTTTTGATGTGCTGATACTTTGTATCAATAAACATGTTCGTTGAGGAAGTTGCAAGCCTTGGAGTTCTGCTTTATTTGTCTCTGTCTGTCGGAACCATGACACCTGCCCTAGGTAATTTTGCATCATTATTGTTGTTAGGATTCTTGTTGTATTCTTCAGGAAAATAAGAAAGGGAGGTGGACAGTTAAGAATTACGAAAAAAAGAAAGAAAGAAAGAAAGAAAGAAAGAAAGAAAGAAAGAAAGAAAGAAAGAAAGAAAGAAAGAAAGAAAGAAAGAAAGAAAGAAAGAAAGTTGTCACTCCTTTTTTTTTTTTGTTCCTCCCAGGTGATGTATTGGTTTCTCCATACAGTGAAAGGAACTCCCTTCGAAACATCTGATCAGGGCAAGGATCGCCTACTCACACACTGGGAGCAGATTGACTATGGCACACAATGGACATCCTCCCGCAAATTCTTAAGCATTTCCCCAATCATCCTGTAAGTGTTAGATATTGCTCAGTCCAGCCTTGCTATTAAAATTGCTGCTATAATTGATTTGTTTTATTAATTTAACTAATTTTTAATACTTAATAGCACTAGCACTTAGTGCTCCGTAGTGCTGCTCCATAGTGCTTTACAACACTCTCTGAGCGGTTTACAGTGGCAGCATATTGCCCCCAACAATCTGGGTCCTCGTTTTACCAGTCTTGGAAGGATGGAAGGCTGAGTCAACCTCAAGCCTTGTCAGGATTGAAGTCCAGGCTGTGGACAAAGTTTGCAGTACTGCATTCTAACCTCTGCCTCACCAGGGATCTTAATATTTCTTACATTTTGCATATGTATGAATTTGAGCCCCCTATTAGCACGTGTTATGTAACATGGTCTCCATATTCATTTGAAATTGGAGCCTTAGCTCATAGTGATTATCAGCCATGTACAACTGGAATTTCAATGCTGTTATCTTCTCAACTCTTCGTTAAGAATGTACACTTGAAAATGACTTTGAATTTCTTAGGTTTGTTGAATCAAAGAAGGCTTTTGTTCTAAATAAAAAAACTAGTTTTCGCCAGGATTATATCAACGGAATACCTTGTGCTTTTCCAGACACACATTTCTCAGTCTTGGGATGTTTAAATGATGTAAATTCAAAAACATCCAAATTAACTATTTCTGATGTTATAGCGCTCTACCCCAAACACCAATCTATTCTCATGGTAGAAATTCATATATTGCAACTAGAAAGTGATATGTTTGTGATAATACAGCCACCAGGTAGTCCTGGTGTTACGAATAGCTGTACAGGTAGTCCTCGGGTTACGAATGTAATGGAGCCAGCTCATTACATTCATAACCCGAGGATTCGTAGGAGTGAATCACATCACTTGACCGTGATTACTCCCTTTCGCCCACGCATTCGCTAACTGAATGTGTGGGTTGTTAAGTGCACAGGAGCTATCTCAGGGTGGGGAAGGCCATGAAGGCCTAGTGATGGAACAGGCCACATGCATCAGACCATTCAAGACCTCCCCTGACCCACTGAGAAACCTCATTCTCCCTCTCCTGGGGTCCCCACAATGCCCCCTCCCATCCTGCTGCGGCAGGTCACTTACCTTGTGAAGTTCTGTCTCCTCACCAGCCTGTTTCTTTGCCTGCTCCCAGAGAGCAGAGGGAGAACAAGACAAGCGTGCCCTGCTCAGCTTCTCTGACTCACCGAGGCTGCCTGCCATTTCTGGAATGGCAGGTAGTCTCAGTGAGTTTCCTCCTAGGCTCTGTTCCAAGTTTGCTGCTCCATACTACCTGGGAGAAATCTGTAGTTATCCTCAAGAATGTGAGGACAGTCAATACGAATGCTGGAAATCTTTTAAGCAAAGCCTCTCCTTCGATTGGCCTGTTCGCCTAGTCCATACATGTCAAACACAAGGCCCGGGGGCCGGATGCGGCCCGCGAAGTGGTTTCATGTGGCCTGCGAAGCCATCCTGGAAACAGGGAATGGCCCCCGCTGCCTTGGCCCTGGCCCAGGCCAGCCGGGAGCCAATGTACAATTTTGTGGTAGCCATCTATGCTGAAACACATTCAGTCTTAGCTCCACAAGGCCGTCTGGAAACAGCGAGGAATCAGCCCCTGCCGTGTCGGCCCCGCCCCCTGGGTGCATGCTGGGGAAGTGTCACCCTTTGTGAGGAATGAAGAAATGGACCGTGCCTTGGTGCTTGCCCCGGTCCCACCCCCTTCTGCCAGAGACCCTCAGATCTGTCCCATTTCTGCCCAGGCCCCCACAGGCGCCCTTGACGTGAACGATGTAGAGCTGGCCACACCAACCCAGTAGGCCATACCAATTCCATCCACGCCCACCCAGTAGGCCACACCCACCTGGCCCCACGTGGACAACCACAATGCTGATGCGGCCCTCAGTGAAATTGAGTTTGACACCCCTCCCCTAGTCAGAGAAACTACTGGGCAACAATAAGAATTAGAATTCATTCACACTCTGAGTTACTCAGTCATAGCAACAGGTGCTCAAAGACATAAGAATTTCCATAGATAGTAACCCCCCCTCTAGTGTACTGTAATACGGAGTAATCTGATAGGCTGAGTAGCTGAAAAAGATTTCCAATTCTACCTGCACCTAGTTGACTGTTACACAGAGTAGATGCATGTTTTCATCCAGATTTTAGATGTTAGATGAAATGTCCCCCCCCCCCAAGTCACTCACCTGATGTGAAATAGCAGTTCCTTTGGTAGGAAAATCCATATTATCATTGGGATTTCTTTACTCAGATTGAAACTTCCACCAACGGAAAGACAGCATTTTAATTGAATTTACTAAGGTTTTATTTGCTCAGAGGTATTTGCTGATTGCCTATAAACTAAATGCTGGGCTGCTAATAATTTCATTTTCTTAAAACATAGTCCTTGTTTGATGCCCACAGTTGGGACCAAGAACTTGGTCATTAAGCAGAGTCTTCGCAAAGTGAAACCATGACTGTGCTTATGACCTTACTTCAGCTTTTCTTTTACAGACCTGTGAAGGGAGGATTGTTTGCATAGTTACTTTTTCGTCACCTTCACAACTGCAAGTGGTCACTAAACAAGGCAGTCCTTAAACAAGGGCTACCTGTAATGACTGCATTGCATGATTCTTTCCATCATCTTTCCTTAAAGGAAAACTAAAAACGTGGAGAAGCTCGGATTCATATCTGTAACTAATTATGTATATTTCTTACTTTCAGCTACATTTTAACCAGCTTTTATACAAAATACGACCCCGTGCACTTCATAATCAACACCACTTCGCTCCTGAGCGTCCTCTTGCCCAAATTACCCCTATTCCATGGGGTCCGTCTCTTTGGTATCAACCAGTACTGAAGCAGAAGGAATCTTGGCATTGCTGAGACGTTAATCCTTCCAAAGAAAAACTAGTTCCAAGAAAGTGTGGACAAAGCTGTGGTTGCATCACCCCGGACTCTCTGGAACCAGGTTTCACTGGGTGAGGAAGGGCGAGCTGCCACTGCTCAAATGACTGGGCAGTATGGAGCGTCCTTTGGTGTTTCTGGCAAGGAAATCCAAGCCATTTTTCTTGCGGCTAGTCTACACTAGGGGTGGAATTCTCTGGTGGAATGAAACAATAGTTGAATTGTCATGTGAACATGAGTTCTCTAGCTCTCCTGTGTAAAACTCCTGCTTTTGCTATTTGTAGTGGGGGACTGAAATCCCTTTCTGGAAGGGATCTCATGTTGCTTAAGATCACCTTTCTTTGGTTTGAAAACATCTCTTTTTCAAATGTGGTTGTGCTGCTATATTTATAGAGTTTCCCCACTCAGGAAAATGAATTTGAACTGTAAGTATGTGACAGGTCTCATGCCTACTGTTCTAAGCTGTGCAAATACTATATTTTGTAAATACTTGCATGGTAGGAACATATTAGCATAACTTTGTTCATTCCAGTTGAATGCAAAGTATAGAGTACTCCCCCTTGCACTGTCCCTCTGCTCCCCCCCCTTTAAAATAGGTCTTCTGGTTAGAAAGGAAAAATGTAATGCAACACTGAAGTTGGAAGATGCAAATTAAATTATATGATCAGTCAGTGTTCTGCACTGCTTTTGTTCTTTTATCAGCCCTGCTTATACCAGCCCCATGAAATTGTCAACATTAAAAGCTAAAAAGATAATGATACGTCCAGATGACTTATTCAATCTGTGTATGAACCTTGTTTGTTGTTAGTTTCTATCATAGTTCCCCAGCTTGTAAAAAAAAAAAAGTCCTTATTTTTATAGGGCAGACATTTCTAACCTGCTTGTTGACAAGCTACAGGAATCTCATTTCTTGTGAGGCTTCTTCACACATCTGTGAAAGTGATCCAGTGAAAGTGAAAGTGATCTGTGAAAGTGATCCAATGTTAAGTTGAGGGGATTGGTTTGAAGTACAAGATGAGCGCTCTATTTACAAATAGCCATCTATTCTAGAGCAAGAAAGACAGTCAAAATAAACGAAAGCTTATAGCTATCAGCAAACACTTTATAGCTATTTTTTTTTCTGATCAAAATTTTGTACTAAATATTAAAATGGTGGTTTTAAATTGGCTTCAAAAATCCACAAGGGACCGTACTCTGTCATTCCTTACCATTAACTATGGAGATAGCCAATAAATGTGTAAGACTAAAAACATCCAATGGGGCTACAAGTCTAAGAATTAGGTGTGCTACTATTATGTTATGGTAATATAAAAAAGTAAACGCATACTTGAACTCACACCATAGAGACTAGATTAGTTCCAAGCTCCCCAACTCAAGCTGTGCAGGGATATTGGTTTTTATTTATTTTATTTATTAATTTTTTTATGCCAGCCATCTCCCCTATAAGGTGACTCTAGACAGTTTACAGGTAATATTACACTGTTTATTTATTGTGGCAAAAGAGAAAAGTAATTGGAAATGACTTGATGCCTAGGGAATCCTCCCACTTGTACCTTTTAGGCATATTCCATATAAAAAGAGGGGAAGCACAGTAGAATCTCCTATATGAGACTGGGCCATCAATATTTATATTACCACATTTCAGCTATTGGAAGGTCCTGTTTTCTAGAGCTATATAGATAAAAGAGTTAATAGAACTTAGTAGAGGAATACCGAGTCTCTATCACTAAAATAGTTAAGATAGAAGTGAGCAGCCCTCTTGTGCTTCCTGGAGCCACCCCCCCCCCCAAATATCACCAAATCAGAATGATATAACTTTGATAAGTTTAAAGACTTCTATTTGAATACTCTCGCAACTGAGTGAACACATACAGTGAGGGGGGAATATTTAATCCCCTGCTGATTTTGTACGCTTGCCCACTGACAAAGAAATGATCAGTCTGTAATTTTAATGGTAGGTTTATTTTAACAGCGAGAGACAGAATATCAACAAAAATCCAGAAAAATGCATTTCTAAAAAGTTATAAATTGATTTGCATTTTAATGAGTGAAATAAGTATTTGACCCCTTCACAAAACACGACTTAGTACTTGGTGGCAAATCCCTTGCTGGCAATCACAGAGGTCAGATGTTTCTTGTAGTTGGCCACCAGGTTTGCACACATCTCAGGAGGGATTTTGTCCCACTCCTCTTTGCAGACCCTCTCCAAGTCATTAACGTTTCAAGCAGCTCGAACCTTCAGCTCCCTCCACAGATTTTCTATGGGATTAAGGTCTGGAGACTGGCTAGGCCACTCCAGGACCTCTTTTGTTGCCTTGGCTGTGTGTTTTGAGTCATTGCCATGCTGGAATACCCATCCACAACCCATTTTCAATGCCCTGCTGAGGAAGGAGGTTCTCACTCACGATTTGACAGTACATGTACCTGTTCATCGTTCCTTTGATGCGGTGAAGTTGTCCTGTCCCCTTAGCAGAAAAACACCCCCAAAGTATGTTTCCACCTCCATGTTTGACAGTGGGATTGGTGTTCTTGGGATCATAAGGCAACATTCCTCCTCCTCCAAACACAGTGAGTTGAATTGATGCCAAAGAACTCGATTTTGGTCTCGTCTGACCACAACACTTTCACCCAGTTCTCCTCTGAATCATTCAGATGTTCATTGGCAAGCTTCAGATGGGCCTGAACATGTGCTTTCTTGGGCAGGGGGACCTTGCAGGGGCTGCAGGATTTCAATCCTTCACGGCGTAGTGTGTTACCAATTGTTTTCTTGGTGACTATGGTCCCAGCTACCTAGAGATCATTGACAAGATCCTCAAGTGTAGTTCTGGGCTGATTCCTCACCATTTTCATGATCATTGAAACTCCATGAGGTGAGATCTTGCATGGAGCCCCAGACCGAGGGAGATTGACAGTTATTTTGTGTTTCTTCCATTTGCAAATAATCGCACCAACTGTTGTCACCTTCTCATCAAGCTGCTTGGTGATAGTCTTGTAGCCCATTCCAGCCTTGTCTAGGTCTACAATCTTATCCCTGACATCCTTGGACAGCTCTTTGGTCTTGGCTATGGTGGAGAGTTTGGAATCTGATTGATTGCTTCTGTGGACAGGTGTCTTTTATACAGGTAACAAGCTGAGATTAGGAATACTCCCTTTAAGAGAGTGCCCCTAATCTCAGCTCATTACCTGTATAAGAGACACCTGGGAGCCAGAAATCTTACTGATAGATAGGGGATCAAATATTTCTTTCACTTATTAAAATGCAGATCAATTTGTAACTTTTTTGAAATGCGTTTTTCTGGATTTTCTTGTTATTTTGTCTCTCGCTGTTAAAATAAACCTACCATTAAAATTATAGTCTGGTCATTTCTTTGTTAGTGGGCAAACATACAAAATCAGCAGGGGATCAAATACTTTTCCGCTCTCACTGTAGATGTTTGAAGTGTGGTGGTTTTAACCTTCTGGCTTTCATAAGCAGAGATGGTTCTCCCAAATTATGTTTGCACCCTCCCCAACTAGATAAACTTTTATAGGATTATCTAGAAAATCAGTGTTTCTCAAACTGGGCAACTTTAAGACATGTGAACCTCAACTTCCAGAATTCCCCAGCCACTAAATCAAGGTTGAAAGCCCACAGGGGGGAAATAATAATTTTTAAGTGATCATCACAACTGGTGTTCTTTCAGCCCGTACAGATAGAATAAAAACCTAACCCCCAAAACAAAGGCATCATTGGTGAAATCATTTTCCGTAAAATTCTAATCTACTAGTCCCTGTATTTTTCCTGGTTTAAAAGCCCACATTCCTGTCGATTGGAAGCTTATGTCTGCCTTGCTTTGAACCACCTCTGGAAAAGTTGCTCCTTTTCATGAGAAAGCAGGCAAAAGGCAGAACAAAGCTGCTCTTTCTTGTTTCCTCTTGGCCTATCTTAAGAGCAGAATCTTCCTGATTGGCTATTTAGCATTTTGATGATCTCTGCCCATCCTTTAGCTCATACATTTGGGAATGACATTTCTCCTCATTTATTTTGCCCCGGCAACAATTACATACTTCCTTAACTGCTCCCCACTTTGGAATGGTATTTGCCCACATATCCAAATGGCTCCCTCCCTGCTGGTTTTTAGGAACACTGTCAAAAGATACAGGCCTTGGAGGTGGGAGTACTACTACAATCTCTTTTCTCCAGAGATAGAAATGGTCTTTTGCTTGGTAGTTGAATTAAATTTTGGCTTATATGTCCCTATGTCCTGTTTTAAGCATTGTAATTATTGCTATTTTACTCTAATGTGTACTGTATGTTTTTAATCTGATTTACAATAGTTGGGATGTATGCTGCTCTGAGTTGATTAGAGCAGCTTATAAATAAAATTAAACCAAAGAGAAAATATGTCTGGCTCCTTGTGTTGCTGTTTTTAACCTCAGCTAACACTTCTCAAATCACAGAAACAAAACATTCAACAATTTCAACATTCAACAAAACAAAACAAAGCATTCAACAATGAGGGACATTAATTTGCTAAATCCTAAGGTCCATTATAGTTCCTTTCATTAAACAATTATCTGGATGTAGCATCTGTCTACCTGAAGTCACACTCTTTCAGTGGATGAAATACATCTTGGGACTCTTTCATCCACTGCCACACAACATAGTCCCAATAAAAGAGAATATTTGTACTTGGGGTTGAAATGAAGGATCGTTGGTATTCTCTGAGCTTGGTTGATATCTTGCATCAGCACTGATGATGTTACCTAACTTTGGTAATGAAACGTCTGCAAGAAAACAGCCAAGCTCAGAGAACACCAAGGGCCCATCACACAAATAGCCTATATCAATAGGAATCTATGGCCCCAAGAGAAGTGGACCAGCTTCTCTAAAGCATACCGAAGCTATAGCACTCTCATTCTGCAATACTCCAATGGGATTCTCTCTCTGATGTTTTGCTAAGTACAAAACCAGACCTTGGATGATCAGTTCCTATTTATATCAGAGCCACACCAATAGCCTCTTTCGGACAGTCACTGTTATGGTGAATTGCTTTAAGTGGGGGTTTCCCAAATGATGGAAGTGTCCCTCTACTGGGGAGATGTCCACAAAGTCCAAGAGAGTGTAATAATAATAATAATAACAACAACAACAACAACAAGTACATCAAATGGTTGAAGAAGAAAAAATGGCTTTGGAAGAATATCTGAAGGACAATGATGAAGATGCACTGAAATTAATATATCAGGAAGACTTACTGACTACTGGAGAGACCAAATTGGCCTACAAGAAAGACCAAATGAAGAACAGAATAGAGGCATGGGAAGACAAAGCACTACATGGCCAGTACATTAAAAAAAATAGCTGGGAAAGCAGATACTAACAAGACCTGGCAATGGCTAAGAGCAGGAAAATTGAAGAAAAAGACCGAGCAACTAATTCTGGCTGCACAAGACCAAGCCTTAAGGACAAATGCATATAAAATCAAAATTGAGAAGGCAGCAGCAGTCAGTAAGTACCGCCTATGCAAAGAAGCTGAAGAAACTGGACCACCTGGTAAGCTGTTGCAAGAAGATTGCACAAACTGACTACAAGCAGCGGCATGACAAAGTAGCAACAATGGTGCATTGGAAGATCTGCAAAAAATATCATTTGCCTGTAAGCAAAAACTGGTGGGATCATAAAATAGAGAAAGTCATAGAAAATGATAAAATTAAACTGCTCTGGGACTTCAGAATTCAAACAGACAAGCACCTGTAACATAACACCCCGGATTTAGCAATTGTCGATAAGAAAGACAAAAAAGTCTGGATAGTGGACGTGGCAGTGCTTGGAGAAAACAGAACAGACGAGAAAGAACTGGAG